TTAATCGGTTAACCACCAACCAAACCGTCTAATGTGGTCCGGATTATGGTCGGTTAAAAAATAAAATCGATACGGTTATGAACAAGAAAAAAAATTAACCGTTAAATCTGATTTGATCATAGTTTGGGCTAAACCGGACCAATCCAGAGCGTGAACACCCCCAACAAAATAGCATGTGATTTATCTAAAATCCTCTAACTCTAACAAATCGAGTTGAGGCAATTTGTAATGGGCTAGATATCTTATTTATTTATATTTGATTTATTTATAAGCCCATGAGCCCCACGGGTCTAGTTAGGGGCGGTGGACCCATGGAGCTTTAACAGCTGAATATAAAAATACACATGTCGAGTTTTGTGATTAACAATTGAGCTGCAGAAAAATGGAAGACTCGAAGCTCGAAAGGTCGACCTCCTCTGAACCCGTAGGCCAGCAAAATCTCCACAACAATGGCGGCGAAGAACAACGCCGCCCAGAGCAACACGCCGGCTCGCTTGAGCACGCTGAATCCCCAAATGAAGGGTTACTACATGCTGATGATAGCGCGGCCATTGCTGGAGAATTCTCCGAAAAGGAAACTCCAACCCTTGAATCGAATGGGGAAGACGATGCTGGCAGAGAAGCCTTAGACGTTAAGGAGGAGGTTGGTGCCGATGGGATGGTCGTGAGGCCTAGCAAGCGCTCTAGGATTAAAGTGGAATTGGGTGAGACTGTTGTGCATGGCGGAGGTATGATGCTAAATTGCCTGGTCTTTTAGGTTTGGGCGGCTTTTATGTTCGAGAATGTAGGTTTTCTGTTGCATTATGAGCTATGTTCTTGAGTTTGTGGTGTTTCTTTTCAGGGGAGGCTGATGTAAATTGTGTTGTCTATAAAGTTGGTGATCAGAGGCAAGCGCTCGTACAATTGTGGAAGGAACATGAATTGCTTCAGGGTGGTGAAGGGATTGAAGCCTCTCAAAATGGCCCGACTTTGGAAGTTCGGATACCGGCTAAACATGTTACTTCAACTAATCGCCATGTATGATGATTATTATTTTTGATTTTTTAATTTTTTTGCTTTCATTTTGTTATTGTTCCATTTTTAGTTTATTAGTCTTCATGTTGCTCTCTATTTCTATTTGAACTTATATTTTATAATTATTTGGCAGTTGACATGCCTTTGATTTTCTTCATGCTTTTGCTCAGATTCAACTTGAGATTTGCACTTGTTCTCTGCAGTTCTCATATGTCATACCTTTTACTTGTGAACAATAAGCAAAAAATTATTTGATTATGAATTGGATTTAATGTTTGGTCTGAAACAAAACAGCTAAAGTGTACTTTTCTTGATCCCTCAGAATTCAGTGATTTGTAAGTAGAGGAGGATGTGTTAGAGGGTGGCACATATAACGTAGTACCTCTGAGGGAGGGATTTTCTTCTTGAAAAAACTGAGTGACATGTGTTTATTTTAGAAGGAAAGAAAAAGGGTTTGCATGAAGGATGCATTTTGAAATGCTAAGGAAAAGCAGGGGCAAGGTCAACGAACGAAGTTCAGTCCATTGAGACTTTCTATAGTTTTACCGCTTGGCACTTGCTTCTCATAGTCCAAGTCGGTCAAGTGCCAACACTAATAGAAAATTAGGTGTCCAAAATCATCCATTGAGGGGAAATGGAAGTTTGGGTATGTACTCTACTAAGTCTTTCCCATATTATTAAATACAATTGGCCAGAAAATCGAGATCAGCTGAGCTTGTTAAACCCTGTTCAGCTTATCATGAAAAATGCTTGGTGTGCGCCTTCATCGTCAATGAACGTAACATTAAAGACGAGTAGTTCGGGATATGAACCAAGGGATCATGTACATTATGAGTATATTTGTTGACAACATGTTTATGGACACATAGGAAACTTATTGGGGTTGCATATTTGGAAGACATCAATATTTGGTTACATTAAAATTCTATATCGTTGTGTAAACATAATTTGAACTCCTAACCATTTTAAGAGTCTCCTTCCCTTCCTCTCTGTATGTATGTGTTAAGTACTACTTCTGCGACAAAGTGACAATATGCGTCTGAATGATACATTAAGAAAACGATATTTTATATTCCTTGAAAACTCTCTTGCATGGAATTAGATATTTAAATAATCTGTTAGAGATTTCCTTATGTTTCATTGTTGAGCCCTAAAATGTTCACTGTGTAGGTAAAAAGTGGGCGTCTGTGGGGAACTGATGTGTACACTGTTGACTCTGATTTGGTGGCTGGTACATAGCAATTCTTTATAGCCCTGTGTAATTCAGAGTACGTTAACTTGTAATCGTAACAAATTGTTACTCATTGACTAACACAAAGCACCACTCTTTAGTTCTTATGCATATAGGTTACTGCCGCCGAACTGCATCTCCTCCGTCATCTGCTACTGAAGAGTTAAGGGTTACTGTAAGAGTGCTGGCTCCACAAGACTGTATGTATTCGCTCTTTCAAAGTGCCCATTGCTCTGGAACAGTTATTTTTCATAGTTTTTAATATACAATGAAGAATATCTGATGCATAGTGATGCATGCCTTTACTTGAGTGAAAATAAAAATAAAATTTTTCAAAACATTGGAGATTCATATGCATATGACTCAACTGCAATGAGACTTATCAAACTGAGATCAGATAAACAGGAGCAAGACAAAAATAGATGGTAGTTAGACATAAAAACTGAATTTTCTTTTTTCATTGTTGCTTTTCTGCAAGATGAACCATCACTGAAAAGTTTACTTTTGCTCCATGGATTTTTTTAATAGGATACTGCATCAACTTGATATTTTCTACTGGAAAGAACCTGCCTAGCCTATTTTAGTGTAGTTCAATTTTTTTAATGTTTTTAGGTCTCCTGTTTAGCATTCAACAACATTCTTGTTTTTGTTGCATAGATAATGGTACACCTTCAGCACTGTCTTAGTCTGCCTAGTGCACGCATAGTGGTTTATCCATATGGGCAGTGTTTGCGTTCAGATGTTTTAGATTATACTATAGCTATTTCTTATTGTGTTGCTTGGTGTATTTTTTTATATATTATATATTTTTTTCTCCTCCAGATTCCAGAACCTGTTGTTTGATGTTCTTTTTTTTT